GCCCTCTCTACATATTCTGTATCTCCCCTGTCTCGTATACACATCTAGATGTGGATAAGAGACAGGATATGCACATATCGTATGTGCGTACACCTGTTTGGCGGAACATGGTGTCCAAGCGCGAGTACTTATGCACTGAGGCAAACATCAAAGGACAACACAGTTGATGTCGACGACAAAATTAGAAATATTGTGAACGAGAACTTTTATGTAGACGATGCCTTGATATCTGTTGCTGACGAGGAAGACGGGGTGAGAATTATTAGAGACCTCACTTCGTTGCTGTCGTCAGGCGGCTTTAAGCTCACTAAGTGGTTAAGCAACAGCCCAACGATACTTCGAGAGGTATCAGTAGGAGACCGTGCTACAACTGTCAAAGACCTAGACCTTGAAGGTACACTACCTACAGAGAAGGCCTTGGGTATAAGATGGGATGTGCAAAATGATGCTTTTGGATTTAACGTCAGTGTTAAGCATGTGCCGAAAACCAGAAGAGGGGTGTTGAGTGCACTGAGTTCGGTTTTCGACCCACTTGGATTTGTCGCCCCATTTACCTTGAAGGGTAAGTTGATAGTTCAACAACTTGTGCGTCGACGTGTAGGATGGGACGATCCAGCTCCAGATGACTTGTTGTCAAAATGGGAGTTATGGCAAAATGAATTGATTCATTTAGAAGAGCTGAAAATTAGAAGGTGCTTGCGAAAGGACGAATTTGGCGATGTTGTAACTCAAGACTTGCACCATTTTGCCGATGCTTCCGAAGTGGGATACGGTGTGGCTTCGTACTTACACATGAAAAACCAACATGGTGATACACAGAGCACATTAGTATTCGCAAGGTCCCGCCTATGTCCAATCAAACGTGTAACGATACCAAGACTAGAGCTAATGGCCGCAACTCTAGCTGTAACGACGGACACATTCTTAAGAAAAGAACTTGGATTGAATGTTGGAGGTTCCTACTTTTGGACAGATAGTATGATCGTTCTTCAGTACATCCGAAATGATGAAAGACGATTTAAGACCTTCGTTAGCAACAGACTCGCGACTATTCACAATGGATCCAGCTCCACTCAGTGGAGGCATATTGATGGCAAACGGAACCCTGCGGACCTCGCGTCTCGAGGTCTGGATGCCAAACAGCTCGTAGGAAATATGTTATGGTATGAGGGCCCAGAATTCCTCAGAAGAAACGACACCATGTGGCCGATTCAACCCGACAATTCTGGTGATACATACGAAGACGACCCGGAATTAAAGAAGGATGAGAGAGTTTGCCATCACATACAGAAAGAAGACTCTGCACACATTTTGAATATATTAATTAGTAGATATGCATCATGGACTAAGTTGAAGCGTACTATAGCCTGGCTACTGCGTTTCAAGAGCTTCATAGTGCTGAAAAAGAGAAAGGGATTAGATAAACTCTCTTGTGTTGACTTAACTGTAGGCGAAGTCCAAGAAGCTGAATTAGAAATCCTTAAATATGTCCAATCCACACATCTTTCTAGCTTAAGCGCTCTAAAGGGACTAGATGCATATAGAACGGACGATGGCCTTATTAGAGTTGGTGGCAGAGTAAAGCTTCAAGATAAATTCTCTTATGACCAAAAACACCAGATAATATTACCATCTGATCATGACGCCACGAACTTAATAATTAATTACTATCACCTTCTAACTGGACATGGGGGAGTTGAACGTGTGCTCGCTGAGACCAGACAAAAGTATTGGATTGTAAGAGGTCGAAGAAATGTTAGACGGGAACTTTCGAAGTGTATTACTTGCAAGAGGATAAAAGCGCCACCCCTGCAACAAATCATGGGACTCCTTCCAACATCAAGGCTTGCAATACACGAACAACCCTTTTCAAGAGTAGGTGTGGACTACTTTGGCCCTCTTACTGTAAAACGTGGACGGACGGAATGTAAACGTTACGGTTGTATCTTTTCCTGTCTGACGACTCGAGCTGTACACATTGAGGTGACAAACTCTCTAACTACAGACACGTTCATTAACGCATTTCATAGGTTTATCGCTCGCCGTGGTTCGCCACAAGAGGTTATTTCGGACAATGGGACCAATTTTATCGGGGCAAAACAGGAATTCAAGAAGGCCGTGAAAGAATGGAATCAGAAAACAATTAATGATTTTATGGTCCAGAAAGAAATAAAATGGTCATTCAATCCGCCTACAGCATCTCATATGGGCGGTATATGGGAGCGTCAAATTAGAAGTATCAGAACGATTATCTTTAGTTTAGTACGACAACAGACATTAGACGATGAGGGTGTTAATACACTTATGTGCATAGTCGAGGGCATTATAAACAGCCGGCCCCTTACAAAACTATCAGACGACCCTAAAGATGATAATCCACTAACCCCTAACCATTTGTTATTATTACGCGGCGGCCCATTGTTACCACCAGGCCATTTTGTTGAGCAAGACATATATCGAAGACGTTGGAGACAAATTCAATACCTTGCCGATGTTTTCTGGAGGAGGTGGGTGAAAGAATACCTGCCATTACTACAAATACGTCAGAAGTGGGTCTTTGAGAAAAGAGACGTTAAAGTCGGAGACCTTGTTCTAGTCACTGACAAAAATACTCCACGTTATCAATGGCCACTAGCATTAGTAGTTGATGTATATAAAGGTAGCGATGAACATGTTAGATCTGTTAAGATTAGAATGAGGGGAAGTACATACGAAAGACCCATAACTAAATTATGCTTACTCGAAGGTGTAGATTAAGTTTGTAGTTAAGATCTTGTATTATATTATATTTAAGATATCATACTTTATATTTTGATTGTTAAACCAAGTTGGTTTAAGGTGGGGAGTGTAAAGTATTATAAGTTTTGAAGCGCCCTCTCTACATATTCTGTATCTCCCAATTGGTATATATCCTGGTTGTTACCATGTGTGAGGGAGAGATGATCTTGGAATTGGTTACGGCACATCTCCTCTTGACACCATTTTGTTATTTAAACTTTTAGCAATTTTTGTTTTAAACTTTTGTTGTTTTACAACTTTGATCAACCAGTTGATTCATTTTTTGACGTGTCGACGACACTTTTGTTTGGATTTTAAATGTAAGTTACCACTTCATTGTTTTAATTACTTTGCATACCTTTGAGAATATACGAATACTTTGCCTTGTTTGAAGGCACGTTGATAATGATAGTTACTTTAGTTAATTAATTAATTAAGAATTTATATAAACTATTTACAGTTTATTTCCTGTATTATTGTAGGCCTATACTTACAGTAGTGCTATATGGCGTATAAGATGCTTATTCAGAGCACTTAAAATAGTGTGATTAGAACACGTTTAAATCATTGTTTATTGTTAATGTTTTTAATTAAGTATGATAATAAGATTACTTTATGCATAGATTCATTTTATGTTAATATTATGTGTCTATAGACTCCTTGTATATTGTTCAATATAAGTAATATTCAGTATTATCTTATACTGTGCTTCTATCTTTTAACCATTGCTACTTAAAGTCACTAGAGGCCCAACCTATGTTTATTGGAGGTCATATTATCCACAGTAGCACAATGCCCTTGGTTACCATGGTGATGAAATAGTTTAGTGCTGACCATTACTGAGACCTTATCTTGTTTATGTTACAGTGGTTAAAGCTAGAATTGATAATTTGATTTGAAGTTTTATTAGCCTTGGAGACGCGAAGTTCACGTGTTTTGATTGTAAATAAATGTAAATATTGTACAGAACTTACTACGTCGTGTTAATTTGCTTGCGTCGATTGATTTAGCCACAACGCCACCTAGCGAACGTGCGGCGTTCGTTACATATGCATATTCAAACTTTATTTCAAAATGGTATAAATAACATACAATTTCTCTTAAAGTCTAGTGACTAGTTACTGTATGTTGCTTTTATTAGGACATACACAATTAAAACAGATTTACCCATGACACTTTATCATTAACAATTTCTGTAGGATACATGAGATCTTCATAACTATTAAAGCGGAGGTGTCTTTTTTTTTACGTCCACCTGCAATAGACTCAGAAAGTTAATCTGTGGTCTGCCAGCACGACCTTTATACATTTGAATTACCTAGAGCAAATGAAATGGCAGTAAAATCTGGTGTATATTCATCTAATCTAAGTATGTGACTTAGCATCATCCAACATGTTTTTTTAATTATTCAATTATATTAACTTTAATTATTATTTATTGCTTTATTATAATATAATTTTTTTTATTTTTAAGTGATATATATGTGGTAATACAATTACAATGTTTTTATGCACTTTCCAAATGTATTTGTTCTTTAAATTTAAAAACAAAATTCAGTTCTTCCTGTAATGTTTGTTAATTGCATTGATTGAATACAAATATACCATTATATAAGCCCAAGCAAGGTTATGGTATACTCTACAACTGTTATGAAAACAAAACCTAAACTCTTTAAAAATCATGTTCCCAAGGAACATTTCAAAATATACCGAAACAATAAAAATATTCCTGTATATATCTACCAGTTCTGTAGCTACTGATAGAAACAGATACAACAGCATATACCAATTAGTAATACCAAGTCTCTCAGTGTCTGACATAGGTTCATACAGATGTAACTATGGACCCGTTCGAGCGAAAAAATATCCGTGCGATTTTCCAGTTAATTCACCGGTACACACTTTCTAAAACCGCTCGGACACGCGCCTAATTACCTTACCATCTGGATTATCCGCGACAATTTTGACCACCAAATTGCTGGGTAGAATTCCGTGTATGAGATAGCCTTGGGGCCGGAGACGATGATAAATCAACCTTAATTGCTTTGCCAAATGGTTCGTCCACAGCAAGGGGACCGACAGCAAGTACCCGCTGTCGTCGCGCTCTTCTTCGCCTCCTCATGTTCACGGCGAAATCAAAGTTGGATTGGACAGTAAATCCATCCACATAAAATCGCATCATTGTAGCCATAATGGTGGCTAGTAGCATAGCTACACGTTTGTTTGTAAAATTACCATTACAGTACAGTATTCAGAGAATTAAACTTCAATACAAATCGTTCCCGCGTATCGTTTAAGTAAGCAAAAGTAAACAAAGAATGGGTTGATGGGATTGGTGTTTCTGAATGACCTTACAAAATTACTTCCGGAATAGTTTCGTTACACGGTATTCGACATGAGCTAAAATTTGCTCGAACGGTGGACCACCCGCTGTGTGCTCGGCGCGATTAACCGGTGAATTCACCGGAATACGGTTTGCGTTTTTCGCTCGAACGGGCCCTATGAGAATACTTAATCACATGCACTTTCATTGTCTCAGGAACAACACACCAATTCCTCAAGATCCAAAATGCAAAGCATCCCAACCATACTACTTTCATGGAGATGAAGTGATCTTAGAATGTGAAGCAGCAACTAAATATCCATTTCTTGAATTGAAATGGAACTCCTCCTCTGAAAATTCTCACAACATAACTTTCATTGCCAAAGAACATATGGATGGTTCAGTTCATCTTTGTTTCATGACTGTACCCTCATGGGATTCATCACATTGGACTTGTAAAGTCATTATTTCAATCAAACTTCATCTTCAAGTCTCCATTATAATGTCACTGGTGTTACAATAGGGAAGCCAACAACACTTCAGTGTTTTGTGGATAATAACACGACATCTGAGTTCAACTATACCTGGACATCAGACAGTAACAGTGTGAAAGCAATAATCCAAAACCTGGGTTGTGATAATAGCAGTAGCAGCAACACCTCCATAAATTGCCAAGTAACTGAAGACAACAGCAACACACTAACCATTGAGAATGCAACAGCTGACGTAATGATCAATGCCAACATCACTTAATAATAATAATAATAATAATCATAATAGTGTAGTTTTATAGAGCGCACAAATCCATCTAATGTAAGATGCTCAGGGCGCTTGAAATGTGGACTAGGAACACGATCAATGACTTTTTTGCCCCTAAGGGTCCCTTCGTGTCTGTGCTACCCGGTAACCCGGTACCAGCAACTCTCGTCGTCCACCACAGGGGCTGTCTGTTCCAGTTGAAGGGTTCAAAGCAATTGGCAGCACTTCAAACACAATCACTGTCAATCAGTTATCTACCAGTGTCAATCTGCTGTCAACAGCTGTATCTACAACAAACAGTACTTTCAAAATGTTTTCCACTGCATATGCGACAAGAAAAGGCTCTCAGAACACACTTATTATTTATTATTGATGATAGTGTTCTGCATTTTATTATTCTTTGTTATAACTTTGATTGTTATGTTGTTCTTTTACATTAGAAAATGTTTCATTGACATCCAAAGTGTATTCAACAACCAAACAGCAATCAACTGTCATAATTGTAGCACAAAAAGCTTTCAAAATGCTATCTACAAAAACCACCGAACTCATAAAATTCAACCTTCTTGTCACATTACACAATCTCAAGATGGCAGAACATTCCATGATGTCAGTGAAGATATAAAAGACAGAAATCAAGGTTCACACACTTATCATGACATCAACACGACTTCTGACGATGACTGATGGCTACATGACTGCTATGACTACAGATGAAACAGTTGAATCAATATGAATGTACTGATGATTAAGATCAAAGACAAGATATACAACAAGAAAAATATCCCTGTGAAGAAATAGGTGATTCCATGGACAATATGGCTGATTCTGTTTATCTTGAGATTGAGTGACATTAGTGATATATTTGTGCAACCATATTGGATAGGGTTAAAATTTGATGTAGTTGCCATACTGCGTTTTTTTTGTTAAAAATTGTAGCAAGGAAAAAAATCTACTATAACACTTTCTTATTACTATATAGTGAGTTTCTACAAGAATTAGGAAGAAAAAAAGAGAAGAAAAAGTTATGCCTAAAATGAATGTTCAATTAATACTGTTCACTGTAAGTAAAATCTTATAGTTTAAAATATAGCAAAGGAAAGTACAGTGCACTTCCTAAATTTACTGTTGTTATTTAATAATTTACTGTACTGGTTTCAGTGAACGTTTATTTTTTTGAAAAGAATTAAGTATATAGATACTACCTCTAATATGCACATTATCTTATAGATGAGTTAAACGGTGCTACAAACAAAAATTAGCAAATACACTTTGCTTTATAAGCTCAGCAAACACAAATGATGTTAAAATGAAGAACACAACATTGCAGCAACTTTGCAATGTTCATATTTGTGAGATTACATTATAAGTGCATATTATGTTTCTAAAAAAAAATTATATTTATAATAAAAACTGCAACAATATTATGTTGTTATTATAAAACTGTTACTTAAGTTATTAAATGGTGGATTCATTAGCTTAACCTGCCCTCGATAAACTAACATTACGTTATCTCGCTATATTAATTGGATTAACACATTATCAAGGATAAGTACTGAGTGTTTAACACTGGTGTCTTGGATTCAATTATGGGTAAATGGATTAGTTGCCTTTTTTATGAGGTTTTAATTGTTCTTTACCGCCGAAAGTGCGATATTCTGACGTTAGTTTAAGGAGGGCTGGTTAGCCTAATGCCGTGGTATTCAAAGTTTTTGGTGACCCTATAACCAAGCTTGATGCCTCCGTGACCCAAACCTCTGTCAAACTAATATTGTCCCTTTCACAGTTTTAAGTTTAATTAAATAGCCAAATTTACTACGATTGGGTAACAAATTTACTAAGAGTAAGTAATTTTTAGCATCTCAGATAAGTGACAGGTGTGCCATATGTGAATAGGTAAGAAAAAGGACATTATCATATCTGCACTTTCTATAAACACTGACAGATGTGGACAAAATAGACAGCCACATAAACTTTTAAACATTCCACTTCCTGTTCATTTCGCAAGAGCCTTAAAAATGTTTCAAAACCTCATCAAAATATATCAACACTAACTTAATGAGTAAAATAGTTTCATGAGAAAATCAATTTATGATATTGATTCCATTGTTTTCATTTTGAAGTGTACATAATGGTAGGTGATCAAACAGATGTTTGTTGTCTCTTTACCATAATTTCAATAAAAACCAGACTTTAAACTGTCTTAAAACCTCATTGTAATAAAACAGCAATTTATATAATGGACAAAACAGTTTCATGAGAAAATCAATTTATACATGATATACAGATAAAAATAGATTCCATTGTTCTTGTTTTGAAGTGCACATAATGGTTAGGTGATCGAACAGATGTTTGTTGTCTCTTCAACATTATTTCAAACAAGGTTCGACTTGACATCATCTCCACATTGTTTCCTAAGATAATATGTGAACACACTTTCTTTTAAATAAATATTATGAACACTTGCAATAGTAAGTTAAATTCAATACAGATAACCTTTATAGAAAAAAAAAAGACTGTGTAAAACACACTGTATACATGGGACATGGCAGTTTATTCATCTTTTTATTACGGTATGTACAATATTACAATATTTGGTGGATATTGGATGGGTGAAAGTACACACAAAATACTGATTACATGCCCATATATATTATTAACTTTAATAAACTTTGTTTTTGTTACAATTATGCCTCAAACGGCAATGTTTGTTTGAGAGCACGCCAACAAGGTTTGTCTTTCAACAGTTAAAAAATAAAAGACGACAGTGGCAAAACCAGGGACACATGCCCTCCCTAAATCCCTGCAGTTAGATTTGTATTTATATTATATTCTATAGGG